TTATTGGAGTATAGAACACCTTAAAAGTGCAAACGTGCAACGTTTTGGCCCTAGAGGGCCTTAATCATGTTTAAGTCCGTCTAGGGCTGAAAAGTTGCACTTTAGCACACTGACACAGATACACACTGACACTCACAGATACACACTGACACGCAAAGATACACACTGACACTCACAGATACACACACATACACACTGACACACCCAGATGCACACACATACTCACAGATACACACAGACACTCACAGATACACACAGATGTACACATACCTAAACATACACACTGGCACACACACAATTTGCAGCTTCCATTATGTTAACCACCCATCCTGCTTCCATACCTTTTGGTTGCAGGGAGGTGACTTTCTGGGGCTGGCTGATCCTGGTGGGAGTCTGAAGCTGCAGAGCTCTCTCTCCTCCTCCCTCTTCCCTTCTCCTCCCTCCTCCTCCTTCTCCTTCTCTCTCAGCTGCCTGCAGCCTGTGTCTTCTCTCTCAGCTGCCTGCATCTTCTCACCCCGCACGGTCTGTATGCTGGGAGGAAGTAACAATCACTTCCTCCCAGCACTCCCTGCAACTTTAAAGGGGCCCGGTCTGCCAAAGGGCTGCAGCACCCGACTGAGCCCCTAATGAGGTAGCTCCACAGATGGCAGCTGCACTATTTTCTCGCCCCCCTCCCCCCCAACCCCCAGATCCGCCACTACACTGCATGTGACTTCCTCAGCCTTCCTAAACACTTCCTGGAACTGAACCTAGATATTCCAGATTTTTGTATTGCACTGTCTATTTAATTTATAATTTCCTGTCTCCTTTTCTGCTACAGCCTCTAAGACCCTGCATGTGATTAAAGTTCAATTTACAGCGCAGGAGATAAAAACTTTTAAAGTAAGTTGAAGTCTGATTGAAAATGAAGCCTTTTTTCATATTTGCTGTGTCAGTCACAACCAGTAGAGGTGTGGCTAGGGCTGTATAAACAGAAACAAAAGTGATTTAACTCCTAAATGACCGAGAATTGAACAGTGAGACTTCAGGGGCATGATCTATACACCAAAACTGATACATTAAGCTGAAGTTGTTTTGGTGACCATAGTGTCCCTTTAAACCCTTAAGGACCAAACATCTGGAATAAAAGGGAATCATGACATGTCATACGTCATGTGTCCTTAATGGGTTAAGAATGAAATTCTTGAGATTCTCACTTGTTTCCAACAACAGCTTTTGTGACTACTCCGGTCACTCATTCCCCATGAAAGGGTTAAACAGCAGGTTATTGTGGTGGCACAGACAATCATTTCATTTTAAAAGGTTAGTTTCCGTCTGCTGAATATACAGCGTAGTTTTGTAGTATTTGCAAGTTTTTCATTTATTGGATTGCGCGGTTTTCAATTCCTGCACATCATCAGTTTTATTTATTTTGTATCCATCTCATGGTTCTGTATTTTAACAAGGGCTTTTATTACAAAGCATTCATAAGAGTGAGTGATTTTTACTGACAAGATCTTGCAGTTTGCTGGCAGGATTGAATAGTACACTTTATAAAGTGGGAGTTTATTTATTATGTATTTTTATCAAGCATTGTTTATTTACAGGAATTTCAATCGGTGTTGTCATCTGCATGGGAAAATGTATTGACATGATGTGGCAGATTTCTCCAAAATGTATTTTACTGAAGAAAAAAAATAATACACTTCTGTAACATATGCAGTTATAAAGGAGAGCTCCTGTATCCCTGAGTAATGCATTAACATGCGTGCATATTCGCTGAATTGTAACAAACTAATATCCGAATAGAAAAAATAGGCAAATTTTCTGAATTGGAGAAATTCACCAACACTGCTATAGTTACAGCTTGGCTCTTTTAGACTTAAAGGGACACTCCAGACCTCTAAAGCTTTACGTGTCAAGAGAGTGTCCTCTTTTTTCATTTTGAAAATAGTGCAGATTTCAATAGAAACTGACATTTTTATAAATTACACTGGCTACACCTCCTGACTTTTCAAGCAGACAACAGGTCCTGTTACTTTCTGGTTTGGTTAGCTTAATTGCACTGAACTGGAGAGACAGTAATTGCCAAGAACACCTGCCTTGCAAAGAGCCTTTTCATTGAGCTGCATTGGGAAGTCTGTGATTGGACAGCCAAAGAAAGTCTGGGCGTGGTTCAAAAGGGAGGGCTTGCAAAGGCTGCAGACAAGAGATCTGTGGATATTGCAAGCTGTTTTTAGATATAACTTCAATTAAAAAATGAATAAGTAAATGCATGCAGGTTTTCATTTGGGGTATACCTACTAAACAGTGATTTTTCATTTATTTTTTATTTGGTCAGTGGAGGGTCCCTTTAAGTCATTGGAATTTCAATTTGCTGCACTTTGATATTTAATGAATAATCTTAATATGGCTACGTCTGAAACCTGAGAAAATTCTAAATGAATTCAAAGTGAGCTTCAAATTTTTGGTCAAGTTGGAAAATTCTCCAAGTAAGTTATGTTTTGATTTAGTTTATTTTGGCTTTGATTTATCAATTCACTTAAAATTTCTAACAAATTACACTTCAGGGATTTAGTCAACAAGCATCAAATTGCAGTGAATTGAATTAGACTATAATTGTAGCTTCACTATTTTAGTCAAAATTTAGCAATTTGGTTTTAAGTTCACTACATTTTATTTATTTCCCAGCCTTTAACTAATTAAGGCTGTGATGTAATCTTTTGGATAAGCTTTTCTAATGATTTAATTGAATTCAATTTTATATTTATATATTTTTTATATATATTTTTTATATCTTAATATTTTGGAAAACTCAAAAATAAGTTTTTTTAAATGTTTATCCTAAAATATAAAATCATTTAAAAAAAGCATTTCCAAAAATGTTAATTGAGGACAATGTTACTTAGAATGTAAAAACACAGCATTAATCATTACATTACATTATACCTGTGAATTTGGATCGTTTTCCTTTATATAAAATGTCATTCTTTGTGTTCTAACTTTTAACTTTTGGAACTTTGGAATATAATGCTATCTCCGAGTTGTTGAATACTTTCCAGGGCAATGGTGGCATGCGTGAGTTGGTCAAAGTTACAAGAAAATAATTGAAAAATATCACATGGATCCAGAAATAATTCAAGAAAATTTAAATACTTTATTCCAGACTTGACCAAAGATGCTCAGCATATTTTTAATTGACTTGTTTGTAGGTAGAACATAAGGGAGAGTCTGATGAGGTTTGTGTAAAGATAACTGTGGCGGGACGTTTTGTGGTTAAATTGATAAGGTTATTAGACCTGTCCATCGTTGTTATTACAGAAAATATTAAGGGGTAGTTTATGTTAGTCTGAAGTTGCAAAAACTTATAGGCAATGAAAACTATCCATGTAACAATATGTTATATACAGCCTTAATGACCACCCTCTGGTGGGACATTCTGTGACTGAGATATCCCAGATGATCGCCGTTGTTTAAGATCAATAATCAAGTTATTGAACCTGTGGGCCTGCTCTGACTTCATGTCTTACCAAAGGTTGGGGAAATATCACATTATGACTAGCAGTTTTAAATATATTCATTACAAAACCATTAAAGGAACCCTCCGAGCAACAAGCTGAACGGGGTGCCATGAGTGCCCTGGAGCCCTTCCAATGTAAGTAGTCTACAGTTTGCATCCATCAGCTCTCCTGTCATGCAGGGCCACCTCTGCCAGGCTTAGCTCGATGCTTGGACTTTCATAGAAGAGGTGACTGGTACCCGACGGACCAAAGGTGACTCATCAAACCATTATTTAAATAGTTTAACTAGTTACAGTGGGGCTACAAGGTACTTCTGGTACCATTATCACTACAATGTGCTGATGTGGTTTTGATGTTTGGAGTGTTCTTTAATTCATTATTTTATATTTAAAGTGTTAATGATTTCTGGAATTGTGGGTGTTTCTCTATAAACCCTCAAATATTAATATTGCCTTTACTATTTGTAGAAAATGTCATAAAGATCTACAGAGGTACAGAATTAGCTGGCAATCATGATGAAGGGTACAGATGAATGTTGCTTAATATTATTGTATAAGATACAGGTAATGTAAGTGTCCTATCCTTTTTGAGAACTGGAATCCTCTCCTATGATTCCCCTTAGCTGATCAGACTGGCAGAGCACCTTTAAGGGCAGGTCTTGGGTAAGAGAGTGAGTGCGCTGGGCAGAAATGACACAAGTGATAATGTGAGGCAAGCAATGTACAAGTAGCATGGAAGGTGGTGGGTGGACATGGTAGGAAAGTGGCAAAGGGAAAAACAGGACTGTGGGCAACAACAGGACAGTAAGTAGTGTTTGTTGGAGATGACATTAACAAGAAGGTCAATTGTATGAGAGGGGATGGCAGAGTGGGCAAGTGTCATGGGAAAATGGCTTATAACCTGGTATAATATAGTCATGGAGATGATTGTGGTTATGGGAATAGTTAAATTAAAAGGAGATGTAGGATTTAGAGTCTATAGCATGAAACTCCTGCATACAGACACTGTTTAAGGGTGGTATTGACCTACACCTGAGAAACGTAAAAGGATTTCATATTGTGCAAACATCCTTAGAGGGTGCCTGGCGTGGAGGGAATTTGTGTAAACCACTAGTTATATTAAAGAAGTGTGTTATGTACATGTGTTCCTTTTTTTATCCATCTTTGTAACCTGGACATTCTAATGGTACATGTTTGTATCAAATGTTTGGGTCAATACAGAGTGGCCTTCAGACCTGTTTTTGTTCCAGAATTTTGGCATTAAACCAATTGTTTAACTATGGACAATGTCAATGGCATGGACCTTGGCAGCCTTAGACAACTTGTCTGCGAAACCCTAAGCAGGAGGTCCATTTCTAAGCAATCTCATATCTTAAAGGGTAAATTCTGTAAGAGAAATAATGCGCACACACAGCAACTATTAATGTACAAAATATTTTATTACTATCATAAATAAAATTTAAATTTTTTTATTTTATAAATATTATTTGTGCTCTTTAAAAAAAAAAAATGCCTGCATGGAAACAAATTTATTGAAACATTCACAGATGATATAACAGATGATGAACATCTCACTGGCAGCGTCTTTGCTGACCACAACAATAGTGCCATAACCAAGACAGTTTCTTACACTATCTGCTTATGCTTTGGGAGCATAATGTATCTTGCAGAACATCTAATTGCCTTCAATAAGATTAAAGCAATCAATACACACAATTTAGCCAAGGAAACCGCTTTACAACAGAAATGTCCGTGCAGAGATGTCTTGACACAGAGTGGAGTGGATGTTCGTACATACAGAATGGACAATACATATTAGAGATAAAAAGGACATTCAACATTTTTTCAGTCACATTGTTAAACCCACGACTGGCCTGCTCTGATTTTATCGTCCTCTAGTGCTGTTTGGATTTTTTATTTGGAGGCAAATCAATATTACTAATTATTTAAGATCCTTTGAATAATATTTATTCATGGAGGCAACCAAGAATAATCCCTTGTCCACTCATAGAGGGAAAGTAAGACTTTTTATGGATATTAGATAGAACTTTGTGCAACTAATATTAAACATTCAACATTTGTGTACGTCTCATAGTGAAGGGAGCTCTTGCAAAATAGAATAAAAAAAATCATATAATTTCATGCTCTCCGTCTTTACATCTAGAATCCTTTAATCCTTAATCCAAATTAGAAAAAGTTTAACATACGACATCAGCACATTAAATATAACCAGATGTGCGGTCTGTTTACATATCGAATGAATATAACCAGTAGTGCGGTCTGTTTACATATCGAATGACAGGTTATATTATATTGCCATGTACTTTGAGACACTGGACAATACCACTTCATTAGTCTGACAAGGTTTCCTGATTTGCACAGAAATAATCACTTATTTGACTGAACACCTGGATACAAACTCTGTATAGAAAATCTTATGATGTACAGTAATCATAAAAAGTGTTTAAATTGGCAAAGATCTTAAGTGACATGTCCGGCGTTATCATTTTGAGATCTCATCAAGGCCTGATCATTTGTATATTGGCGAGACTTCACAGTTTTCGCTCTGTATTTTCGCCTTTTCTGTTGATGTATATGATTTTAGAACTTTAAAGTAAATATGTGAACTGAAAATATTTCTTTCATCGTTAAAATATATCCTATTAGCTATTTGTGTTTGTGTTGTTTTTTTTAACTCTCTTGTGTTATCCATGCTTAACAGAATTCGTAGAAATGTGTGCAGTTTCTATAGCAAACAATCTCAAGTTTCGAAAGATTACACACATCTCTATTACTGTGTTTATCTGGCTAGCTAGTACTACCATGATATGACAATGTAAATTCACATGCAAAATGCATTCCAAGACTATATGGGGCAATCCACCTTAATGTATCCCCTGCATTAACCTTAATGTATCCCCTGCAATTTAAAAATACCATAGCCGCCAAGCAAAACCAAAAGAACACCCTTCATAAATAGAACCCATTCTATGGGACGCAGGACCTGCCCTGTTGATTTGGGAATCGTTACCTATATGACAAAGTAAGGTGTAGCTGCTTTAAAAGTATAGCATTCCAGTTGAACTACATTTAAGGTAAGCGTGCAGTGTATGAAAACACCTTTAACTGGCTATCATTTTTAAGCACTGATGACATCGTGAAGAAGTATCCGCTATTTCTCCAGGCAAAGACTGTAAATAGTGAAAATGCTTTTCAAAAAGTCGATAGATGAATCACAGTCTCAAAACCATCACTCATAACGCATCTTAAGGCAAAACTCTGCATTTCTTATTGCAAAAGTCTCTTCTGCTGAGATAATTGGATTTATGATATCAACAATGACAAGAAATGTAATGAATAAGATCAGTAGCATAAGGTATTCTAAGGCTTTTTGCAGTCATTTCCCGATTAAGAAAAGATTAACTCTTATGGAAATAGGAAAATCTTGTCTAGTTGGAATATATCAATATGTTTAATATGTTTCTACAAGTTACTCTGTATATATTAATGTAATAATTACTATTCTGTATTCTAAAATACAAGTATTCTTTCTTGTAATGAAAATATCACTCTAATATATTGTTTAAAAGGAAATTATCATCTTGTTAGGAGACCCTTATGTCACCAGTATATTAAAAACAATAAAATGCATTAGAACCAAGCAATGTCAACAGCAAAGTATTATGGAGAATGCAGTCCAAGATTTCGTTAGAATATGTTATAATATGTTAAATGTAGATTTAGAACTCGTCACGGCTTCTAGAAAATTTACCTGCCATTCAACTGCTTACCGACACAGATAATCTTGGGTGATGTAGTTTACCAACTATGTAAATATGGCAGAATTTTGTCAAAATTTTGGGGACATGTCATCCTGTTTACTATTTAGAAACCTGTTTGAAGCAGCTCTGTCAACTTACAGGATCTTTGCATAATTTACCAAGACCCACAGTGGTGACTTTGCCGCTTGTTGTCTGGTAGCTATAGAGTACCCCAGCCATGGTCTTCCTTCTGGTCCTCTTCATCAGCCAGGAGCCCATATCAGTGCTGTTCTCTTGAGCATACATGAGAGTACATAACTGAGATCCATTGATATTGTCTCATGACAAAATTAGGTAGCTCCAATTTTCAAGTGGAGGAAAAGTACATAAGGCAAAGTAAGGATTGCCTTATGTATTTTAGGATAAATAGACTGGAAATGAAGAACAGATTAGGGGTAAGAGAACAGGAACAGATTGAAGAACGGTAAGTTTAGGGTGATAGAGTCACTTTAAGATGGGGAAGTGAATTTTCTCTTTCACAAAAAAATTAAATCTATCTCAGTTGGCAGCACAGTTACTTTGCTTTAAAAAAAATATTTTAGGGAAAAAAATACACATTTCTGGTTTTCAGTAACCCCCAAAGGAAAATGCAAAACTAAATACACAAATAAATAAAAAAAAAATACATTCTCTGATCATAAACCTAGTTTCCACTCTAATTAGATAGCTATGTATTCAAAATAATAATTTTGCATAAGCAATTCAATCAACACATTTTTAAAGCTGTTATTTTAATGGAAAAGATGTTTAATTTGCAATCAACCCAATCAATTGCTGGAGCGACATGTCAACATTTTGGCAGGAGTGAGTAAGGCAATTCATCGCTGGATGGGTTATGGGTTAATCACTGAGTTACAGATATATGCAGTACCGGAGAAAAAGTAAATATTCCCTGAATTTCAAAAAATACAATGAATGACGTACAGACAGACACTGATTAATAACAAGTAGGATCTGAGGACCATTTTACCAGTGACCCCCTTCCAACATATTCATTTATATCCACATTTTAAAATAACTATATGACACTGCTGTCGATAAATTAGTGTTTTTTCTTTTAAGTACATCCTGCCAACATGATGGTCCATATGCCGTGTGTCCAAATGGCCCCAAAACCCACAATCACACTATCAAGAGAATGACACACGCTGAGTTTTATTTCTAAACAACATACATGGGACAAGATTCTAAAGGTAGAGCAATCAGCATGAAAATCAATACACTGTCCCTCCTGAATGTTCCACTTTTAGAATGTTGCTAGAGATTTACCCATAACTCAGTAGCAACATGTGTCACAGATTCAGGTTTTCTAATTATCAGTTTAAATATAGGATGTGTGTGTGTATATATATATTTGTGTCTCTGTATGAAAATAGAATAAATGTTACATGAGGTTTCAATGAAACATCCTTGATTCAATATGCTTTCCAAATCATTCAAAACTGTTATAAAAACATCCCTATAGATTAACCCCTTAAGGACACATGACATGTGTGACATGTCATGATTCCCTTTTATTCCAGAAGTTTGGTCCTTAAGGGGTTAATCTAAACATACCATAGATTGCAATGGTGACTTCTGCAGATAAATCACTTGGATAGGTTTTCTAACAGTACTGAATTATTTGGAAAGCTTATTAAATCGAGGCCTAGATTTGAGTTTGGTATTCAGCAAAATATCATTCAAGTACCTGTGCTTTTACAGGGCATATTGCAAACGAAGGACTTACAGAAAGCTGGATAAAATGATGCCTAAATAAATGTATTTATAAGATATATACACATCTACAACAATTATAATATCTCTATCTAGTTATATATTTATATATAGTGCTGTAAGACTTTTTTTCAGGCACTGGTGAGGCTCTACTCAAGAGAGCTTACAATCTAATTGTTGGTGGCTGACGCACAGGGAAATAAAATAACTTGTTCAAAGAGGGGAGGACAGAGCAATGGCATAAAACTACAAGTTTCCTTATTTCAGACTACACTTTATTTTCATTCATCTGACAGTTTGTATTAGCCATATTTTTTATCTGTGTACATGTTTTTAATAGTAGTAATGCCTATTATTATATTATATATTGCTTTTATCAGAAAGGGGACCGATAGTGTTTTAGGTCATGTTGTGAAGTTTAACAACTACTGATTAATGGATATTAGTATTGCCAATAATAATAATCAAAGGGAACACAAATATTAATCAATTAATTTTTGTTTCTTCCATTAACCTCTAACGAGCAAAATCACAGTTTTTAACTAGAATACAGGAAATTCCATATTCACAAAAGTTTGTTAACCAGCAATTGTATAATTTACCAAATCAATCTATCTGTCTGTCTGTCTGTCTATCTATTAGATTAGGGGTGAGGTCACAAAACATCGCATTGCTATGCTCTCATAATCGACTCGCAAAATTTGGCCAAAATACAAGAGATAAAACTTATCTCTGTTTGAAAATGTATCCTTCTTTGCTGTGCTGGTCTAAATTTAGTAAGTTAGCGAACAACTCACAACATATCTCTATTTAATGAATACCAGCTTATCATTAATATTCAGTGTAGACAGCGGCTTCTAAACCATCTTCAGCCACGCAAGCAGCCTGAGCATAATGGGGGTTTGACTCCGTGGGAGAAGTACTACCAAAAAATTGCAATCTTTGGAATATTTAACAAAGAAAATATTTAGGTTGTCCCAAGATTCCATACGATGGCATACATAATGTGACCGCTAATAGAAAATGTTATTCTGGTGAAAAGAGATAATAGAAAATTGTATTCTGGAGAGGAAAGATGCTACTGTCACAGGAAAGTAATTCCATTGATTGAAAGCCAACGGGTAAGCTCCTCTTCCCCAGTAAAAGAAAACCACTTGCCAAACACAATAAACCTCAACATTTGTTGTATCATTCCTCACATCCCTTAGGCTATGTCGGACAGTGGAAACAATTTATAAAAAGAGAGGTTTTTCTGTAACCGTCTTACTATTTGTCACGCTGTATTGTCAGGTCAAATACTTTATGAGATGATTAATACCTTACAGTGCCAGTTTCTATACACTGCATCAAACACTTTCCTATACTCCGTCAAAAAAATATCAGCGAAAATCAACAAAAATATTACTTTTATTTTCAGAAGATTATTATTATTTTTTTATTCCTATACTCTTCCTACAGTCCTATAGTCTCCTATAAATAGCTTAAATAACATTTTAGCTAGGACTGGGTTTCTAATAATGTGTAATGCACCCACCTAGAAAGCATTCTTGTTTAGGGTCACAATAGAAGATTCATTTATAAAGTATGTTTTGACCTTTGGATCACTAAGGGACTGTCTGTCGGCGGTGAATATGGCTAAGGGTCCCTGGGAAGTAATTCCAGACCTGCTTTTAATAATGCAGACATAAAATACTAACTATGTATATAACAAAATAAATATAAAGTTTATACTATGTAGTTTAACTTGTATTTAGCTATATTTGTAGGAAAATATTTGTCATCTAAATGCTGCAGACAGTAATTCAAACATTTTCTGAATGTAACAATATATATTCAGATTGCGTTGACCAAAACAAGAGTTGATTGCTCTATTACAGTCAATCTTCATTGTTTCATTGAATCAGACTATGACTTACACTGATCAGCCACAATTTTAAAACCACAAACAGGTGACGCGAATAACATTGATTATCTTGTTACAATGGCACCTGTCAAGGATATATTAGGCAGCAAACGAAATCATCTGAGTGACTTTGACAAGGGCCAAATAGTGATGGCTAGACGACTGGGTCAGTGAATCTTCATAACATGTTCCTGGTATGCAATGGTCGTACCTACCAAAAGTGGTTCAAGAAAGAACTGGGGTTCCAGTGTCAGGGTTGTGAGTGCCCAAGGCTCTTTAATGCACAGGGGGAGCGAAGGCTAGCCCGTATGGTCCAATCACACAAAAGAGCTACTGGAGCTCAAATTGCTGAAAATATTAATGCTGGCCATGATTTAAAGGAGTCAGTACACACAGTGCATTGCAGTTTGCTGTGTATTGGGGCCGCGTAGCCGCAGATCACTCAGAGTGCTCACAATGACCTCTCTATACCGCCGTGACATAAGTGTCAGAAATAGATCAATGGAGCGATGGAAGAAGATTGCAAGGTCTGACAAATCATAATTTCTTATAGATCAGGTGGATGTGCATCATTTACCTGGGGAACACATGGCAGCAGGACACACTATGGGAAGAAGGCAAGCCATAAGAGGCAGTGTTATGCTCTTGGCAATGTTTTGCCAGGTAACCGTGGGTCCTGGCAAGCATGTGCATGTTACTTTGATACATACCATCTATGCCTTCATGACAATGATGTCCCCTTATGGCAGTGGCGTCTTTCAGCAGGATAATGCACCCTGAAACACTGCAAAACTGTTCAGGAATGGTTTGAGGAACATGACAAAGAGTTTAAGGTGTTGCCTTGGCCTCCAAATTCCCAAGTTCTCAATCTGACTGAGCATCTGTGGGAACAAATCTGATCCATGGAGGTCCCATCTTGCAGCTTGCAGGACTTAAAAAAATCTGCTGCTAATGTCTCAGAACACGTTCAGAGGTATTGTGGTGTCCATGTCTCGACATATAAGAGCTGTTCTGTCAGGAAGTGGGAAACCTACACGATATTAGGCGGGTGGTTTTAATGTTGTGGCTGATCAGTGTATGTCATTATGGATTCTTACAGATTGCATTATATTTATGTAAGAAAATACCACCCTGTTCTTGCTCTCCATTTTACATCCCTGGTCAGTGTTGCTATTAATTCCTCTATAGTACATTTTTGCATTTTTTATCATCCTATATACATAGCAATACACTTGTAAAGTGTTAGATTCAAAAGGTAACTAACTCTAAAGCTATTATGGATCTGGATCTACTATGATTTCAGCATTCTGACTCCTCGAAGGATCATGGGAGTTCCTGTTGTATGGACCTGTCTATTGGAGACCTGTCTACTGGCTTGCTGTACACTGTATTCTTTGGTGTACTGTATGTTTTGTTCTGTTAACATAGTTGATTAAATATTTTGATCATCATTATTTCTTAAAGGGACACTAATGGCACCCAGACCACTTTGTCTGCAGTGCAGTAGCTCTGTCCTTTTAACTTTGCAATGTTTTTTGTTTTGTTTTTAGAAATTCACCTCTAGTGGCTGTCTTCTAGTCGCTGTGCATGCACATCATGTCCCTATGAGGAGCAGTGGATTGGGCTATTGCCAGAGGAGGTCAATACTCCTGAATGGTGTTCCTGGGAGGTAGAGAGGTGAGTAGTGCCAAGAGATCCTGGCACTGGAAACAGATAAGTAAAACTCAAATTTTATTAATGTTTTGGCAATGGGACTTGGGACTACTATAGATAGGGGCAGAGACGCTATGGCGTTTGAAATACAGTATTTTATTTTGGTCCCTTAAAGTTAGTTGGATATCCTACTCTTGGTATGCCATGAAAATAACCTTTTTTTCTAGTTATCGATGTAGGCCTTGATTTAATATTATTGGATATGCTTTTCAAAGTTTTTCATATTTTTGGATACATTTTTTTAATTATTTAATATTTTTTTTAAATATGGTAAGATTTTTGATATATTGATATATATTTTTATATATGATATATTTATTTTTGATATTTTAATATTTTGAAAAAAAATCATATTTAAGATTTATCCAAAAATATTATATTACTTGATAAGCTTACCCAAAATATATGAAATCAAAGCTATAAATGGAACATCTACTTCTGTTACACTGGAAAATGTTCAAATAGCATCTAAAAACAAGTTAATAAGGAAACGCAATTATTATAGGAACAGTAGTGACTCTGATAAACATTGGAAGACTCAGCAGCCAGTGCACGGTGATATGTCAACATGAAAATGGTCCCACGATTCAATAAATGGCATACGGCATATTAAAATGTTCTCACTTTCCTGTGTTGTGACTCGCATACTTTAGATAAGTGATATCAGAGTTACGAAGATGTGTGACATGTCTATATTATTCTATTATTAAGGTACCACTGCTCCCATTTCACCACCAGCTCCAATGAGCCCAGCCTGTGAGTTATTTACTTGTGATTTCCAGCACATTTTACAAGTAGGGCTGTGCAAAAGCTTCTGTGGATCTTTGTGAGAACATAGGCCGAGTTCTGTTATTCCTTTAATGCCATACTCCTACTAACTTAACCCCTTCGTGCCAGGACTGTCATGATATTTTGGCTTTTGCCTGACCCCTTGTCCTGATGTTTGGCAGAATAAACCAGCAAAGTTGCTCAGGAGCTTTTTTTTTGCAGTTACAGCTGATAACAAAGGCCGCAGCAGTGGAGAAGCATCTTAAACTGGACAAGCATCTTAAGGCATGCTCCTGGAAAAGATAAGACTGCCAAATAAATAAAAGCCGATGTCCTAACCTTCTGATTTAAAGGTGCACTCACACTAGAGAAAAAATATCCTTCTATGTGTTACAAAAATCGAAATATCATTGGGCATATTGATCATTTTCAGTTTCCCCAAAAATCGATTCCACAAATTTTATTGGCACAGCATCTAATAATTTTTAATTTAGTTTATAAAATAATACCAATAATAATATGCAGTGCTTTATTTGGGATAATAGGAGACAATTCTACTACGCTTTCTATATGATTCTGTGGATGCAATTACTCAGTATCATCGTTCACTGTAAGCACTTTTTATATGTAAGACAGCACTGATGCAATTAAAAATAAAGAATCTGCACAACAACCGCACCCTATAGTTTGCAACGGGATAAGCAATGCCAACATTTGGTTGTGGTTGTTATAGAGATTTTTTTTTTTTTTTTTTTGTAGGTTTAGATGGAACAATAATTGATGCCCTTTGAAAGCTTTTAATTCTGTATATTATGAATGCACCTTTAAATTTCCCAGCAACAGCCTGAAAAGAGAACATATTTTATAACCTATAAACGTTCTTGATTTCTAGAGTTTTCTACGAAGCTGCCATATGCACATTTGTTATTAGACACTGCCCATCTTCACGCAAGGAGCACGCCAGTTTTTGACCACGACAAAGCCCTCCTTAATAACACTGCAGCTTCAGAACAAACTGTTCAAGGCACCGGTGGCACTGCCGGGCCTAAAAGCTGGATACATCACATGTGTTTAGAATTCTATTCTTCTCACAGTAAATCTTAGGTTGATCCAAATATGTCCCTTTCTGATTCAGGAGATTGCGGCCTTGATATTTCAAATATCTCTTGTGGTGATTGAGAGCACCTTCTGGAAGCTAATATCCTTAGTATCTCTGCAAGCTGTTTTTCGATATTTGTCATTTTTGAATTCAAAGCTTTAATGTCTTCTTTTAACTCATGCTTCACCTCTAACACTGTAGCTTGGAAAGTCTGTTCTGGAATGGGATAAAAAGTGTGTTTAACTTCTGTCTGCACAGGACTTCGATCCTGAGGACTTCTAGTCTCCCCTATACTGTCTAAACGCAAATCACTCTTTGTAATGCCACTGTCACATGAATCTGTCTTCTTTAACGTAACCTCCCCTGAAGGTTTAGTTCTCTCAGGTAATATTTCCATAGACTCTGCTTTGGAAACTTTGTTCCAGTCCTCCCCTTTCCCACATGCATCTCTAAATCTGGCCCACCCTTTCCGTTTCACGAATTCCCCTGGGACTTTACCTCCTATACTTTCTGTAACTGGAGCATGTAGCTTAGCACGGTCTGATACACCAGACGTTGAAGCAGCCTGGAATGAAAGTGGAGTCGCAGGACTTTCGGTCACTGTCACTAGACTTGCTTTTATTGTGTTGCGAGCAGAATGTTCCACCAAGATGTTTCCTTTCTCTATATCTCGGTCCTTGGGGTCTCTAATGCCCCTCTCTGCTGCTAGCCGGGCTTCTTTTTGCTGCTTAAATCTCTGGAACAGGCGTCGGACTGGATGGTCTGGAGGGAGGATCAAAGGAGCTTCATTTTTGCTTTTCATCCATTCTTCTTCCTCTCTTTTCACATCACTTATTTTCCTGAACACAATCTGCAAGTAATAAAATATTTATTAATTAAGAGATCTCTGGTCTATCATATTTACCAACATGTTGTTATATGTGTAGTGACAGAGTGCTTACCGGTAATTTAGCATAGGATGAAGTGATTTTATTCAAAATTGCTCTGCACCTTTTACTCAATGACTGTAGCATGAATGCTTAATGTAATTGGCAACCTCTACAACACTGCGTACAATAACGTGTAATTAAAGGGACATTTACACTATGTTTGTAACAGCTTGTTTGGAGAATTTATAAAAGAACGGTGCTAGAATTGCACAGAAATACACACAGCAAAAAAAAAGGCTTTGCTCATATCACATGTGTAGACAGGGATGCATAGACGAAAAACACATTTGTATAAAAAGGTGACATTGTATTATCACACAGAGAACAATGCTCAATATATTTTCTTATTGATTGATCTAATTATCAATGATACATCTAGTGTATGTAACCAGGATCAAACTGGGACCAGTAATGATGATTTTTTGGGTGTCCCAAAAAATGCTTTGATTGCTTTCAGCCAATGAGATAAGCCCTGCATTGATTTCTCTCAACCAATGCATTAATTGCTCTCAGCCCATGAGATAAGCCCTGCTTTGATTGCTCTCAACCAATGAGATAAACCATGTGTTGATTGCTCTCAACCAATGAGATAATCCCTGTGTTGATTATTCTCAACCAATGAGATAATGGTCATTGCTCTAAACTATTGAAGTCTGGGCTCTCCAGCAATGATATTGGAGGCAGAGAGTGGTGCCTGATAGACCCTATTTTAGAAGTCAAACTGTTCAAAAAATGGTTTGACTCCTTGGAATGGAGATGGGAGGTTTCCACGGCAATCCTGACATCACAACTGCTACATCTAGCTCACCACGTAAAGGTGTGCTGTTAAAATATATAGCCACTATATATTTCTACATACACATTCATCCCAAACATTATTAATGATTGCAGAGCTAATAAACAGTAGTCTTGGTAAAACTTTCAGTGAGTTATAAAATGTTTTCATCTTTACTGTTTGACACCTGTGAGCAGGTAAGTTACATATAGACTAAATATTTACAAGACAAATGGTGAGTATTTATTTATTCCTGTTAAGCAACAACTCCTTGGAGACATCACTACTCATTTCACCCACTTATGGCAAAGAGTAGGGACATCCTTTGTCCTGCACAGTGAGTGTGCACACAGACTGCCAGATCTAGATAAAAAGCTCACGACAGTCACTACAATACTCCAAGCACACCTTACAGCAATACTAATACTAACTGTTTAGTTTGGAAAAACGGCGCCTGAGAGGGGATATGATAACTTTATACAAATATATTCGGGGCCAGTACAAACCTTTATCTGGAATTCTATTCATAAACAGGGTTATACATAGGACACGAGGTCACACATTTAGGCTGGAAGAAAGGAGATTTCATCTAAGGCAAAGAAAAGGTTTTTTTACAGTAAGAACAATAAGGATATGGAATTCTCTGCCTGAAGAGGTGGTTTTGTCAGAGTCCATACAGATGTTTAAACTGAAATTGGATAAATACTTACAAAAACATAACATACAGGGATATAATTTCTAATTAGTGGGGTAATAGCTGCTTGATCCAAGGAGACATCTGACTGCTATTTTGGGGTCAAGAAGGAATTTTTTCCTAGTTTGTGGCAAAATTGGAAGTGCTTCAGACCAGGTTTTTTGCCTTCTTTTGGATCAACAGCAACAACATTTGTGAGGAAGGCTGAACTTGATGGACGCAAGTCTCTTTTCAGCTATGTAACTATGTAGCTATGTAATAAACCCTGCTAGGCTTTAAAGACGATATATAAATCATACATTACTTTTAACCATATAAATATGTAATGCACTATCTGTGTAAATGGGAGTATGTAATGGATTAAAAAAAGCACCATTGGAAACTACATAAACAGTGTTTTGTTGAATGTCAGATTGTGCTGAACATTGTATTTCCACAAGGCTGTCCAGGGTTAATGACTTTTCTTTAATGAGTAGTATACACGGTAATGGTTTATTTCCCAGCAGAGTGCATTGTCTCTACTGTATAGAGCTAGGCTGTAAACTTGCCACATTATCAATAAACTAGAGTTTGTGTATAAAACACGTTGGAACTGTCTTTCACCTTCACTGGAGAATTCTGCTGTTTAAATGTTTCACATAATACCTGGGAACAATGCTTAGCTTTCTAACAATGAGAACATTAATTAGAACCAACACATCAAATCTTTACCAACTGGGTAATTCACTACAGTGAGAATTTAAAGTGTAAGGCCAAAGTAATTGAACTGAAAGCATTGCTGACTTAGAGAATGTTTCATGTTTGGCTATTT